AAATTGGATAATTAAACAGAGTTTCTCATTTAAGGAACTGCTAATAGAAATACAGAAGGTAAATATCTAATAGAAATACAGAAGGCAAAAGCAAATACGAGTAAAATAATTAATGTTTTAAGCATGGATTATAAATTTCTTAATTAGGACAAAATCAAATTTCTTAATGAAAGCTAAGATTAATCTTTCTGGGCAATATAATAAGAAATAAATATAAAACATATTTGTATTGAAATCGTATTGAAGAATTTCCATTAGAAAATCGTTTAAACGAATCTAAAAAATAGGCGTAATCGAATGACGATTTAGAAGTAAAATTGGATAATTAAAGCGAGTTTCGCATGCTCAATTTGCTTATATTACGAAAGAGCAGACCCGGATCAAACATTGAAGAAGTACCAAAAGGTGGACCATCGACATATTTCGAAGAGGTTCACAGACGAGTTTCACATTTTCACAATCATCTGTTTGCTTAGCAAACAGCGACTTGATAATGAATATCGCAACAGTCTGCTGCCGATTTACGTAACGATACGCACTCGAGAACAACAAAAAAAATTGATGAAACAATCAATTGGGGGAGATTTCAGCGCACGAGCAAACATTGCATTACTCCTAACTGTCGAGTACAAAGTAGTAGTTTATAATCAGAAACAAGTTTCTTTGGTAACCAACTGTTGATAAACAAAGTGTGTACTGCCGGGGTGGTCCTCAAACATCTAAATTTGGCAATGGCCTTGCTCCAATAAAGCACCGCGCGTTCTTACGTAATCGTGTCGCGTGCGATGGCATTTTAGAAATTGAATCGCTTCGTGTGCGCTTCTTCATTCTCCTTCGTTTTTCCACCTTATTACACTAATTTTTTTTTTCCTTTCTTTACATGTCTTTCACACGGAAAAGCACAGCAACACGTCGCAAAGCAAAAGGATTGAATCGAGGTTAGCAGTGCAATATGTGTGTTCCGAATGGGAATTCCAAACGGAGACGAATTTGTATTTCGTTTTGGTCGTTGAACCGGAAACGAACGGTTTCTGTTCTTCCCCATTTTCGTACTGTTCCATCGACTGTGTATTGTCGTGTCGCCGAATCGTTATTTATTATTAAAAAATTATTGTAATTACGATGAAACAATGGTGTGTTAATTTCGCGAACAATCGAAATTTGGCTTCAATTTATACACGTACCAAGCACAATCTCTTCTGTTTGAGTGGGCAATTAAGATGATTAGTTGACTAACATCCTGGGGCTTTCCAAAATAATCTTAGAAATTCAAGTTCGTGCGATTATTAAATTTACCAAATTGTTGAATAATGCAAGAACCAGAAACTAATTTTTAAAAAAAATATGATTACTTATGATTCTCGAATGCCATGAAATTTATTCCTAACTCCAATTGTTTCAATAATATGAGCCAAAAATCTTCCATCAGAATGTGGATTTGATTTTGATCACGAACTGAGCAATCAGAGGTCGATAAGATAACGCCTGATCCTATAACAAAATATCGGTAATTGGATGGAATTGAATCTCGAGCAGTTTAGTAAACACACGCCTACATGTTTTCGACAAGTGGATGGATTAAGTAGCCCAAAAAAAAAATAATTTGAATAATAATCCGCCGTGGATAATGTGAAAGCCATCCACGCACAAATCTCATCATTATTCATTCATTAAAATAACAATTGCCGGTCGGGACCATTCATGCCTTCGTTCAAAGGTATCTTGATGCCATTACGGTGTAATAGTCATATAATGTAAATAAATGGGGCGAAAGCGATATCGACTATCACTAATTAAATTCTTGGATAGTCTGAAAAAAAATATAGACAAACAACAAACTTATCTCGTGAACTTGTATAATTATCACGACTACAAGGAGCAGCAATAAAATGGTTGGAAAATATGTTCGTAACATATGGAAACAAGTGCGAAAAATAAGATTTAATAAGTCTAAATAAATATTGATTAGTAAAATGCATAAACAAATATTGTACTTTGACTTAGATATCTGAGGATCATTTTTCAGCGTAAAGGTTTAAGTTTCGTTGAATATTGTTATTCTTTAATTTTGTTATTAATTAATTTTTTTTTTTGGCATATGTCATTTATATAATTTCTGCATATAATTTGATCTCACATAAAATTAATAATATTTGTAAATTAATGAAATACGCAATAAAATCTTTTTGAAGAAAATACAAGTAAATATGGAATGTTTTAGGAAAACGATTATGAAAAATTCTTTTCAGTATTTTCTTGGATTTGTTTCAAATGATGAATGATTTTTTTTTTCCAATATGTATGCAACTTATTGAGGGCACAATAGGGATTACGTAATTCCCTGGGGAACGAGTGCGTGGAAAGTGTCGAATCGAAATGGAAATCGAATGATGATGATGATGATGATGGTCCACCTGGTGAAAGTGGCACGCTCCGAAGATGTTTTCCGAAAGCGTTAAGTAGAAAGTGCGGCAGCTTCGTTCTGCACGTTAATCTCTCTCTCTCTCTCACCTGGCATTCCTGGGCGCTGTAAATATTCCTGAACGTGGACAGCTTGGCCTGGTGCACTGGCACGGTGGACGACGTCGCCGTAGCCTTCCTCCGGACCTGCAGGACGGCGCTTCCCTGCGACTGTCCCCACTGACACAGTTTCTCTTGCACCCGGACACAGAACCTACTAGACCCAACACAAGCCATCGTTCCGACTGCAGTGACTCGTCCGCGCTCAACGCCGAGAAGAAAACACGAAAGCATTCTTCTTCCACCTTTCCACTCTTACTCTCGCCTCGCACCCATACACCTCCGGCGACTCCTCCTCTTCCTCCCCTCGTCCACGTACACGGATATCCTCGCACTCGCACACACCGTCTCCGTAGCCGCAACCTTCTTCTTCTAATTCTAATACTTCTTCAGCTGTTTTCTGTTTCTTCGGGTATCAAGCGTGCGTGTGTCTCCAGGATCCCCCACCTTCGATCCGACTTCACCAGCTGATCACCATCATCATCAACGCCAGACAGGATGGCCGCATCCCTGATGTTCCGAAGGATTAATGTGGCTTTGGCCAACCTCGAGAGGACCCTCGTCGAACTGCTGAACCCCAGAGGACCGCCACCAGGTATCGTACAGTTGTAACACTTACGTAACCGCTCTCTGACTACTATACACGCGCACCAATTGGCACATAACCTACAAAACGAGACGCACAACAATATTTAACCTCTATTTTTTAAATTATACACCACTAAAATACGATGAACGGGCTCGTTTTGTTTGCCAGAAAGTATCTATCCAGCACCGATGATATTCCTTCAATCCTAACCTCTACAGATTCTTGGGGGTCAACCCTTAGCTGTGACAACCCCCAAAAATATTGACATTTATTATAAACATAACCCCAACATAAAACCTTTCTTTTTCAATAGCTACTCCTCATTATTTATTATGATTATGCATCTTTTACAAAATATCTAATTATTTGTTATAGTCATAATTATTATTATGCTCAATTTTAGTCTTATCTTTTTATCAACTTTTCTATTTGACTAAAATTATACACTTGTAACAATTTATACATAAATTGTTAATTATAGCTACAAGTTTCCAATAATTACCTTCTAATTAATCCTCTTTAATGAAGAATGTTATTATTTACATTAAATGTATGATAATATCAAATGTTGTATAAAATAAGCAACTAGTGTATGTATCATATATACATAATGTAGTTTGATATTTGGATATCTGATGTATGATCGAAAATATAATAAATAACATAAATCTGTATGATTAAATAATTTTTTCACTGACGAATTAATATTCAGCATACATTGATATTTTGTTATTGGAAAAATATCGATTACGCAAGATTCTGCATTTCTCTAATCGTATAATAATTTACAAGCGTCGAACATAAATAAAGTTAGAAAAAAGTTTCAAGAAAATGATGACCTTTACATGATATTTTTGGAATAAAACAGATAATCTTCTTCCAATTTCAATTATACTTGAATATTTCGGAGACTCGTGGTCCAAAGGTTCCAAAGCCGAACGGAATTTATTAATAAATATTCATGACTTATATATTCATTATGTTTATCCCTTAAAAATAAATAGTAAATGTGCTAATTCTAATAACTATGGTCTGTTAAAGAATATTGCTTTGCGTAAACAAAAATCTGCGAGTTGTATAAAAAAAAAGAAGCAACCTTTGATCTATCGAAACTGAGTCATTTCATTTTTAATTGATTAATTGATTTTTGTATCACTCGATCTCTTTTTTTTTTAAATCCGTTTAACTATGAACACGAAAGTGTTGCAAGTATTAGAAGTATTGCATTAATGAGTAAAAGAGTAATAGACAAGTGGGCCAATGTCACTTGCGCCAAAAACAAAAATCGCATTAGCGTTACAGAATTACATCAACGAATAAAATATATGTAAACCATGAATATTATTATTATTATTAACTCTTTTGCAAACTAAATACATAATAATTAATTGCATTGCCATTTAGATAGAAGATAAACTAATAATTATGATTAATTGCTTAATTATAATGGTTATTTTCTATAAAAAAAAAATATGTTTCGCATAACATTGTGCAAATCATTCCATCTAATGATTATTGTCATCGAGTTGGAAAATGTTTGACCGGTGTTAACTTTTCTTCGGTGTAATTAAATTGTTTACAAAAGGAGAGCGCCATTATTGAAGGATGTCCTTCGTGACATTTTCTCTTGTTAACATGATTTTTATTGCTTCGCGAGTTACCAAATCCTTATGTCGGATGGATCACATTCGTGGAATTTAACAGAAGCGCAAAAGACAGAAACTAATTGTTTTTCGGTCCTTGATTTCAGTTTCTTCGCAATTGTTGAAGAGTACATCGCTGGTAACCTCGGCGACCCAGTTTCGTGCATTCTAATGATTTGCACTTCTCACGACCCGGGTTTAATCCCCAAAAAAAAATAAAAATCTACCTTGAGTTAGACACCGAATTTACCAATGGTGAATGTCTCATTGAGGATTATGTAAAAAAATTGTGCTTTGATTGTTTAAGATTGCTTTGTTATTTTACTAAAGTTTTTTTTCTTACTTTCTTGCAGATGCGTTTTGCTTGGTGGGTGTTGAAGGTTACAGAGTATCAGGAAATGAGCCTAAACCTTTCTCTATCAAAGACATAATCGGCGATGGTCTGTTATGGGCTGTGCCCAAGCACCGTCGCTCCTTGGAGAAACGTCTGAAGAGGAAATTTGGAGATCCCGAGTACGTGAATAAACTGATCTTACCGAAGACCACTCTGAGGGTCTGCAATACCTGTGGAGATGATCACGAAGTCGGCGTTTTGTGCCGTAAGTAATCATCAAAACTTAGCTTCAACTTAAAAGTCAATTCCCATACGATTTACAGCCACGTGCTACAAGAAGGTCATCGAGGAGACTAAACTGATGCAGGACAAGATCCAAGAAGAACTTAAGTTGGAACCAGTTGAGACTGAAGTCGTGGTGTTGTATAACGGTGAAAAGGACGATAAACCTTCAGAATTCTGGCAAGGAAAACGGATTGTCGAGATGGAAAAGGAACGTCCATCGTGGTTCAGCAAGAACCTCACGCAGCAGACGACCCAACAGCCGGCAACCACGAGCGATGTGAAACCATCGCAGCTCGGTTAAGAAAAAAAATAAGTTTAATCGTAAAATGGATTTAGTCAAATAAAGTGTGAAAATAAATAGTATTATTGCCAATTTCTATTCATTTCGTTTTCTTATTTCTTTCTTTAATCAAATCCATCCAGAGTTAATTAAATAACCAAGTGACCATGAAACAATCACAATTAGTTTGAAAGTTAATTTCAAAACGCGAAGAAAGTCCGATAGCAATTGGAGCCTGTCAAGTTATTCATTATTACGCGCCCAAAGAATTTCTACTTGACTATTTATTTATTAGTCTATAAAAAGGATTTCAGTGAACTTAAAATGAGTAATCTATTACGTAAACTACTTTAAATCATTGAACTACATTATTACATGCAAACGCTCATATATCGAATATGATAATCATTTCCTTATTAATTTTATTACTGTTTTTTATTATAAGATAGAATTGCAATCATTGCCTATTTATTATCTTAGTATTATTTATATATAACAAATCAACTTTTTAAATTATTATTATAGTTTGTATCACGAATCAATCATAAAATGGTGCTGAACGTGCATTTGGAACTCCGTAAAATCGTCGCTCGCACTGAAAACGATTCTGCACATAGGGCACACTCTGTCTTTCTCCAAAACCGCTGAAGAGCCCCAGTCCGCCAGATGATCCAGTTCGCGTTCGTCCTCTCTGGCCTTACTCAAATCCGCTTCGTAGTCTTTCAGAAACCGTTCCAATTGTTCCCCTTGCATAAGAACGTTATTCTTCAGTTGCTTCAGCGCGCTCACGTGTTGCTCGATGTCCTCGACCATGGAATTCTCATCATCATCTAAATTGAATCCGAAAGAGGTTAATGCCTCATTCTGAAGCTCTGACATCTGTGAGCACTGCAGCTCCAGCTCTGACTTCTCCTTGGACATACTGTTCAAGATCTTCAATGAAATATCCTCAAACTCCATAATTATCATATCATTGTCAACTATTGCATTTGGCAAATATTTGGTGTGCGGTTTCTCCTGTGTGAATGTTTTTGAGCGTATCAGTGGGGAGTGCTGATTGATTTTGTCACTTATCTTTGTGAGCTTCGTATCAAGCTCTCTATTGTCCTCAGTCAGTTTCGACAGTCTCGACCACAACTGCTTGTTCTCACTTGTCACCATTTGTATTTTGTTGTGCAGCTGTGATTTTTCTTCTGTTAACTTGGCCACCTGCTCGACCAGGGTCTCCACCTCATTGAGTGACTTGTCTGGGTCTACCTGCGAGCACTTCTGCATCAGCATCAGGTTTTCGGCCTCCAGGTACTCCACGCGATTCTCCAATGCTTGACGGCGCTCCTTCATGGTTAACAGTGCGATTTGCAGGGCCGCAGCCCCCGTGGTCTCATTCATTATTTAAAGAAACAATAACAAACTCACTGTCTATTCTCACAGCTGACGACTCACATGAAGAATTGTTGACAAAACACGAATCTAAAGAGCAATGTTCATTTGGTTGCATACATGTAATTTTTAATTTTATCTAAGAATAATATTTGTTAATTCTTTAGGTTTTTAAGAAATAAAGGATTATTTTGAATGCAATTAAAATTTCTTACACTATTATGCAACTAGTATTTTTATATTCAATTTATTTCTTCTACACATGACCTCTTTCATCTTCACCAGAAGTTAAAACCAGTTGAATTGAAAATAAATTTAAAAGAAACCAAATTATCAAGGCGAACAAGAACACGAAGTTTAACGTATTTGTTTGTTTTTATTAGTTAAGAATGCAGTTTTATATTAGATATTAATCTTGTTAAATTGTTTTAATTGTTAAGTTTATCAGATTTTAGTTTGAATTTAGATGAGAACTTATTGTATAAATTGAAATAAACTTAAGTTAAATTTTAATTAACTATTAAACAATCATTACGACGATATAACTATGAATTATCTCCTCTTTAAAACTTATTTAGTAACCACATAGTAATAATTTCAACATGAGATAATCTTTATTAATTAAACTTCCGCATAACAATTTTGCACAGAGGTGTAGCGTACTTGTTTCGATACCACCGATGCTATTAAGTAGCACGTGAATTGCGTATTTTTAGATGCTGGTCTTAGATCATAATTATGCTCCCAAGACATTCGAAACAATGAAAATCGAGATCTTCTCCACAGCTCTGGGATGGCTTCTGGCCGCTTTACTACCAATCTTCCACATCTTCCTGCTCTGGTACTTTTGGTCCAGGTACACGTTTCCTGTTAACACGGCCACGTGCACCTGCGAGTGTTGGGACACTATTTTTAAAGGTAAATACTGAACACTGAAGAATCTATTTTTAGCATGCCTTTGATGTTATTCCCTAAAAATGGTTGTTATTTTAGGTCCGTACGAATATGGAATATCTGCTTATAAACACTTCTATTTCAATTCAACGAAAAGCTCTGCCAAAATATGGTTGATCGTTTCCATCGGTTTGATAGCTCTGTACGAATGCTCGAAACAACTTTGCCGGTTATTCCTTCGTGGTAAATTACGCTCTTCAATGCTGCTGCTCTTTCTTTCTTCAATATTCCCGCACTACTATTCATGGTGGACGTACATAAACTACATTAACGATAGATTTTACACCCAATGGGATCACCAGCTGTTCTTCACCATCTCGGAGATTGTTTCCACGGCCATCGTCATCCACCTGAGCAACAGGCATCACGAGCTGACTCGCTACAAAATGCTGATCATCATCATCATAAGTGCTGTACACTTGATCTCGGGCTCGATCGATCAATTCATCGACAACATTATCATGATGAGAGGATCCAAGCATCAAGTTAATTAAATAAATAAATAAACGGTATAGCGTTGGAATTGATAGATTCACAAATTTGCAGGTCGTCCGGGATCTAGGCTTCGTTCTTGCCGATGTTATGCACATCGCCGTTCCAATCTTTGAGCTGCGAGATCTGGAGTACTATAATTTCGATAACAGAGTTTGGTACAAGGATCGTAGATCTATAATCGAGTTTACTATTGCAGGATTTCTCATACTTGTTGGTTGCGTTATTGTTCAACAATTGTAGTATTATATGAAAGTGAAAACTATATGTTTTCCGTTTTCGTTTTAAAATCAACTTGTATTTATAATATTGTTATTATTATTATTAAAGTTAAAAAGATATTAAAAAATTTGTTATTTTGGATTGTTTTTTTTTTATGTAAAAGTGGAGACTTGTTTGAATGTTTTTCGCTTAGTGATTGCCTGATGGATGTGGGAGTCCCTGTAACCAAGGGAGAAGCGCGTGCGTTGAAAGTTGATCCTCGCGTGGAAAATCGATGGGGGTCGCGCACCTCCTCTCCAGCAACAAGAAGGACAAAAACGTACGGGTCTCGCGATTGCGAAGGTGTCTACGAAAGTGCAAAAACAGCGAATAGAGTGGAAAACGTAAAAAACGTAAGGAAGAACAATGGCTCTGGACTTCGCCGCCACGTACAAAGTGCTCGTCCTCGGAGACTCGAACGTTGGAAAAACCTGCATAGTGCATCGTTTCTGCGACGAGAGATACTATGACACCTACATCTCGACAATAGGTAAAATCGATACGTATTTGTTTCAATTAATCTCCATCATTTTTGATCGCCTCTGGGAACAGGTATCGACTTCAAACAGAAGATAATCAATCTGGACGGGGTTCCGGTGAAGCTGCAGATCTGGGACACCGCAGGACAGGAACGTTTCAGGACTCTGACAACCGCATATTATAGGGGCGCAATGGGAATTCTGCTGCTCTACGATGTTACCAATTTGGAATCATTCAATCACATCACCTATTGGCTGCAGAACATCGAAGAGGTGATACAATTATATTGGTTTTATAAATAATTAACTTGAATATTCTGCAGAACGCCTCTCCGAACGTCGTCACCGTGCTGGCAGGAAACAAGTGCGAGTCTTCCGATCGAATAGTTGATTTGGACAGTGGAAAAAAGGTCTGCATGATTAATCGAAGCTTAACTCATTACATATTGATGGGATTGATTTGTAGATGGCGGAGAACTTTGAGTTGCCGTTCTACGAGGTCTCCTGCAAGGACAATATCAACATCGAGAACGCGTTCCTTGCATTGGCCAGGAAAATTAGGGAATTCAGAGAGCTCAAGGTAAACGCTAATTTTATTTAATTCAACTAACTTTCTAAGATAATAAACTGTCGACTACAAAGTCGGGTATGGTCTTGATGGTCTTCCTCAACTCGTCGATGTCACAGCAGTAGCTGAAACCCAGGTTCATGTTGCTCTGCTCCCATTGAACCCAGCTGATTCTCCTGCAGACGTCCGGGCACAGATTGTCCTGCTTGGTAAAATCGTTGACGGTGATGAATGCTGCACCTCTTCTGGTTTTCGGATCGTACACGACTTTCCACGAGAACAGCGGAGCCGGAAACACCAGTTGCCCGCTATCCGGATTCCTTGCCAAAGAGATGTATTGCTCTCCACCTTGCCTATTCGGATACTCGATCTGACCGTGCGTTCCCGTATAAACCTCAAGATCGATGGCATTGCTGCTCGCGTACCTCCTGACGTCTTGCTCCAAAGTTCTCCAATTCCCGGAATTTATGCTCTTCCACCGAGGAACCACGTTGATGTAATGCATCGTCAATACCTGCTGAAATCCGTAGATCAGATCGGTTTTCGCAGTAAGGTGTCCTTTATTCATGTAGTTATCCCTGAAATAAGTCAACTCTTTCCCGAGGAAACCCTCCACGAAGGTCTTCTGCTTGCTACCCCAATACACGTTATCGACGTTAACCTTCCCGTAGAACTTCCTGTCAAGATGGAACTTTGGCCTCGGATAATTATACTGTCCAGCATCGATCTCCTTCTTGATACGCACGTGCGAATAGAGCACGTTCATCTGGACGTGATCGAAACATATCGTTATGTCGCTTATGAAGTTCTCTGCGTAACTGTACCCAATCGAAATCTCCTTATATCTTCCGGCGCAGGTTTTTCCATTGTACTTCGCTTCGCCGACGCTCACCTCGGAACACCTAACATCCCTCAAATTGATATTTCCTGTCCCGTATTCGAACGTATTGTTACCACATCGAACGGAAATTTCCTGCGACTTCTGAGTGACTCCATCCAAGATTATCGTGTTATTCGCTCCCGGGCAGAAGAGGACGATGTCCTGACCGGTCTTGAAATATCTCTGTCCGTAGATTTTGTGCAAATATGGGTAAACGTATCCATCCTTATCGGCGTTCAGGAACATCGGCTGCTCGTGCGTCCCCAAATTTCCGACGCACTCTTTAAAACAGCGACCATTAAATAGATGCTCAAACGTTACGATTAAATAACAATATACCTGCATTGGATGGATGAACTCCGACTATCAAAAGGCAACAGGCGAGCAGCAGTTGAACGCGTTCAAAGGTCATGTTCAAATTACTTCGTTCCTATCGCAAAGCAAACGTTCGCTCTTATTGAACTATCTATCGATCCAAAAAGAACCAAACAGAACAACTTATATAACGTTCTTAATTTCCTTCGGCATTCCTTATCGCATCGCATCGCTGCAGTTTGCCGGCTTGCATTAGCTAAGCAAAACTAGTTGCAGCCCTTATTTCCACAGTTTATCACAAAAATTACACAAATAAGCACTAAAGTTGAAAGTCTTTAGACTTTTGTATATTTTTCAACAAACTATTTTAAATTTGTTTCAGCTTTAAATAAATATTATAATAGAAATTTATAAAATGTTGTAGGGCGATCCGTTCCACGAATCCAAGGAGGAAACCGAAGTGCTGAAGAACAAGCCGGAAAGTCACGGTAACAGGACGTGTTCTTGTTAGGACGAAGCAGGCACGAACTAAAATATAATTAATTTAAACAAAATCTAACAAACAGGAGAAGGCAAAACAAAAACAAAAATCAGAACTTTATTTCAGAAAAGCAAGAAGAAAAAAAAAGAACACTCACACTATCGTATTAAGAGCTTTAAGACTTTGGATGTCAATAATCGTTTCCTACTTATATATATACTATATTTACTTCTTTCAATTAACATCCTGAGGGAAACAAACAAAAAACAGAAATTCTAGGAAACCGATTCGTCATTGTGTTTCCTCTTTTGAAGCTTTTCAATATGCTTTCATTTGTGTATCCCCTCAATAAAATAATAAGAAGAAAACAGAGATTCGTGGTGGAGGAAGAGGATGCCGATGTTGAAGGAGGATCTTTTCGGAAAGATCGTAAGCCAAAGAAGCGCACAAATCGATGTTGTTTTCTTTTGAAAGGATATTAATAATAATAATTTAAAAAGAATAACAAATAATTAAAATTAACAAATAGAGAGTAAACAAAAAAAAATATGTGAAATAAATCTGAAGATCGCGCAACCGAAACGCAATTGCGTTTCCTTCAGCGTTGTTGATCGTATTGTTGTTGATGTATCTTTAGAGGCTTAAACTGATATTAGAGAGACTGACTCTGGCATAATCAACCCTTTTTGCCCAAACCAAACCCCCCCATAATTTTTAATCTTAGAAGCAAATTCATTTCTTTTCTATGAAACTGCTTGCTGGGACCATTCGCGATTCGTTTCGAGTATTTACTTTTCACATTTTATTATTATTTAATTATTTCTTTCTACGATTATTGTTGTTGTTTATTTTTTTTTTGTCGAAATTGTGATACATTCATTGGTTTCTGGTTCGAAAGGAGAAACACACACGCAGCGGCAACAAATGAATGGATTTATAATAAATATATATATATTGATATATAAAAAAAAATTAATAATGAAATATTTGTAAATGTAGATTGTACGTTTGTTAGTTTTACTGGAGACGAATTATGAAATTAATAAATTAAGAATTATTACATTTAAGATAAACTGTTAGCCAATACCGATATCGATTACTATTATATATTTAAATAAATTCCAAGAACTTCACTCAAACATCGATCTTTTCTTTTTGGTGCAAAACTCTATTGAATAACCTTCGTCGATTTGAGAATGTACGCTTTTGTGTTCTGTAACAACTTAACAGTTTTGTGTTTAATTCAAGAATGCTAGTGACTCATTTACCTTGATGGCATTTAAGGCTTGAATTAACAAAGCAAATCTCTTCCAATTTTGTATTTATATATTGATTGCATGTTGTATGTTTACTAATCACTATACAGAATAATCAATTATTACGATGTGGGACTTAAACTGAAGGATTTTGATGTATCGGAAACGTTTCAGGAATCCATCAAATTGTAGACTTCAATGTCGGGAAGAGTCTTCACGGTGCGCCTGAAATCATCGACATCACAGCAAAAGCTGTAACCCAATGAAAGGTCATCCTTCCTCCAATGAATCCAATCGATCTTATAGCAAATATCTGCGCAAAACTTATCCAATTCGGCGTAATCGTTGGCTGTGATGAAGGCTACTCCTCTGAAAGTGTTAGGATCGTAAACGACTTTCCAGAAATACAGAGGTGCTGGAATAGCCATCCCTTTGCGACCTCGTGCTAAGTAAATGTCCACTTTGCGACCACCGTCATCCGGGTAACTCAATTGTCCGTGAGTTCCGGTATACACCTCGAGATCAACGGAATTTACACTTGCATACTCTCTGACATCCCGCTCCAATGATTCCCAATTTCCAGCGTTAATAGAATCCCACTGCGGAGCAACGTTCACGTAATGCATGGTCAGCACTTGCAAGAAACCGTAGACCAGATCGCATTTTGCAGTAAGATGACCCCTGTTCATGTAATTCCTTCTGAACTGCTCCAAACTCCGTCCCAGCAAACCTTCCACAAACTCAATTTCCCTGCGCCTCACGTAAGCGGATTCCACTTCAACGATGCCATAAAACTCTTCATCCATATGAAACCTGGATCTTGGATAGTTGTACTGGCAGCTGACAATCTCCTTCTTAACAGTAACATGCGAATACAACACTTGCTTTCTATCGTCGTCGAAGCAAACTGTTATAGCTTTCAAGAAACTATCCTCGTAGGTGTATCCGATGATAATCTCGATGAACCTTCTGGCGCAGGTTCTTCCAGTAATCATCACCTCACCAACGTTCACATCCTTACACCGGACATTATTTAAATCGATGTATTCGCTGTTATAAATAAATCGCTGGTGGTCGCAGCGCATCGTAAATTCCGGCGATTCCAAAATTTGTCCGTTAACAGAAATCTTGTTATCCTCGCCAGGACAAAACAACACGATCTCTTGTCCATCCTCGAAATATCTGCCGCTTGAAGATTGTTTGGGATAAACAAAATTATCTCTTTGCGTGTTTAAGAACAACGGTTGCATGGACAACCCAAGATTGGCTCTGCAATCTACAATTTATGTTACATACATTTATTAAAAAAGTTCTAATAATTTAAGTAATTTAATTAAAATGTCAATCAAGATAATTAACGTTACCTGAAGTGCATAAATCCCAATTTCCCAAAGAGCTCAGAACGAGCAAAATCAAATGTCTCGGATTCATGTTTTTTATTTTCTACAAATGAAACTGAAACTTTATTTCTTAATAATTTACTGAGACATTTACTCACGCTTTGTTTTAAACTAAACTAAAGATTTATTGATCTCTAATAATTTAATGACTTAACGAAATTCCATTAAGATATTTTGACAACGTTAATTATAATGATCACTTGATTTGATCCCTATCAATTAGATTTAAATATTAAGTTAAAAGTTTCCTATGTTTTTGCTTGATTAATATGTTTTTTCTTTTGGAAAATCATTATTGTAATTATATGTATTCATTTAGGTCGAAAAGTTTCAGGACTAATGTAAAAATCAATTCGCTGAAATTTGTTGTTGATCGAGTTTACGTTTCTATGACCACAAATCTATTACAACAAGTTCAGTTGAGGATGGTTCAGTGGATTGCGGCGTATTGGAAGAACGATGTCTTTTGGAGGGAAAAGTTCCCAAGAGTTGCGTGGATATGAGAAGATCAAGACGGTCGGAAAAGGTTGAGTTTCTTATGATTCGAAACAACGGTTTCCAAGCGGCGTTTTTTTTTCAGGTTCCTTCGGCACGGCCACTCTCTACAAGAGGTTGGAAGATGAAGTTTTTGTGGTGATGAAAGAGGTCTTCGTCTCGGACATGTCGCCAATCGAGAAGAGCGCTGCTTTGAACGAAGTTGAGGTGCTCTCCTCTTTAGATCATCCTAACATAATCAAGTACGAAATAGTTTTAACATCGAACAAGTTAAGAGCGGAGATTCGTTTCAGGTATTTGGGGAGTTTTCAGCATGGCGGAAGTCTGATGATCGTGATGGAATACGCGGACGGCGGTAACTTGGCGCAGCTGATAAGCAGGAAGCAGGAGAAGCGGGAGAAAATTCCGGAACCGGAAATTCTCGATATCTTCGAGCAGATTTGCTGCGGAATCAGTTACATGCATGCGAACAAGATTCTGCACAGAGACATGAAATCTGCGAACGTCTTCTTGAACAAAGACGGAACTGTTAAGATCGGCGATTTCGGTATTTCCAAGATGATGAACACCAGGTCGCAGGCGCACACCGTCGTCGGAACACCGTATTATTTAAGCCCGGAGATGGTCATTTAAATTAACGTTGAATGGCATTCCGTTTAACTTTGATTTATTTCAGTGCGAGGGCAAAGATTACAATGAAAAATCAGACGTATGGGCGATGGGCTGCATCCTCTACGAACTCGTCTGCCTTCGCAGACCGTTCGAGGCCCCAACACTCCCCCTGCTCATCCAAAAAATCTCATCCGTAATTTAACAATCAAATTAACCATTGTAAATTACATTACAAACGATTTTCTTCTTTTGCAGTGCGATTTTCCGCGAATCCCCAATACCTATTCCGATGGAATCTTCCAGCTGATAGAGATGATTCTGCAGAGGGATAGCGAGAAAAGACCATCCGGTTTGCTCATGTTGCATACAATTATACCAGCGATTCGCGAAGAATTGAAGTCCTTATCGGCGAGACTCTCAGAATCTTTGTCCTTGAGGTAAACAACAACAACTGATACAGCCTTTATTTTTCAATTTAATCTTGTTATTTAAACAAAACAAAACGTTATCATCTTTAACAGTGATATCATTGTTAATATTTAATAATATACTAGTTGAAATAACAAATTGTAATTAAATTATAACGAATTGAACAAACGTAAATATATATGATGGAATTACTATTTTCAGCCCACCGAAAGAACGTTCCGTTCTGTACGATCTGCAAGGATTCACATCAAACGCAAACCTACATCCGACAGATTTACCCTCAAATTTGAAGCTAATCGATGTAGCGCAGAGTTTCACGCATTCCTTGGTAATTTCCGATGATTTCAAAGTGTTTTCCTGGGGGGAAGATGCGCACGGTCAGCAGGGCCTTGGGATGCGTGAGGCTTTCCGAAGAACACCGATTGCGAATAAATCGTTGCAATCGTATAAAGTTATCAGGTATTCGTCGATGCAAATTAATTTCTTTAATGTAATCTTAACTTTTGCACAGATGTTGCGCCGGTCTTAATTTTACCATATTTCTAACAGAGGATGGAACACTATTGTCCTGCGGTAACGGCAAATTCGGTTGCCTCGGTCATGGAAATTGGAGCGATCAGTTAACGCCAAAATTTATTGGTATGAAACTGTAAGAAGCGTTGGTTAATTGGAAACTGTTATAATGTATTTCAGAGTCTCTGAAGAATATGAAAATATCCGAAATCTGTAGCGGAGCAAACCACGTTTTGGCTTTAGCGACGAACGGAAAAGTCTTCGCCTGGGGATCGGCTCAACACGGACAGTTGGGACTTGGTCACACTCAATACTGGTAAGTAATAATAATTATAATGGTATATTTCAAACCAACGTTTTCTAGTTGTAAACCAATGCCGCTAAAACTATCGGATTTCAACGTGCAGAAGGTCTTTGGCGGAGAGGACTGTTCCGCACTCTTGACCACTTCCGGAAAGATTTACTTCGCCGGAAGCAACACTTACAGCAAACTCGGTTTTAAGCAAGCGCAACTGTTGAAAACCTTTTGGCTTTTCGAAGGAATCAAAGAGCGTTTCATGGATGTGTCCTTTGGAAAGAAGCACACGGTTCTTCTGGGCACAACCGGAAACGTTTATTGCCTCGGAAGCAGCGAGCACGGGCAATGCGGAAAATCTGAAACGAGATTAATCTTGAACAAAGTCGAAGTAAGAAATTCCTTTCTAAATTACTATTGAACTTAACACTTTCGTTCAGAGAATAAGCGCAGGACCCACGTATACTGTAGCATCGACTTACGAGAACGTCGTGTACTTCTGGGGTTCTTACAGCAAAAGATCCAAAAACGTCGATTGCAATTTACACTTATTCCAAAACGACGCACGTAAACCAAATCAAACATCAAATATAATTTAAAATATTTATCGATTTGCAGATTTACGAAAAATCGCAGAAGACAATTCAATTGGAGGATTCACCAAAACCAATCTTAGCGTAAATTACATTAAAATCAAATAGGATATTAATATTTAAATTTTAAATTGTCGTAGTCTATACGCCTCAGCTGAGAAGATTAAGAATGGTAATATCTTGTGGATTGGAGGATTAGTTGCTAATGCAAACAGCGTTTCTGTTTTGGTGCACACTACAACACCCACTCAGAAAAAGCACGACGAAGATGTTGAAGATGATTGCAGTCGAGTGCTGGTAATTGCACAACTTTCAATGTATCAATTAACGGCTCATCATCAAGTTTATTTGTTTGTTTGTTTGTTTCAGAACACGAATTGGACCAGTTCCAATCAGACTTTGGCGACGGGAATTGCTCTTATGAATACGCCGTTTCAATGAGGAACATTAAGATTATTAATTTCTCTTTCTTTAGCAATTTTAATTAATCAAAGAGACTTTACAAAGACCAACTTAATTAATGATTACTTGTATTTATGTACAGTATACAGTGTTCTCAATATTTGTTGAAATACACTCGATAAAGTTGAAGTAGCATGTTATGAATAAATCTTGAAACGACTTGCATTGACTCTTGTAATTTCCATGAAAATATTATGATAAAATTTACTGAAATACTAATGTTACATTGTATAAAATTAAGTCATGTATTTTTTTTTGTTTATATAATTTATTAGCAATTTCCATGAACATATTAAGCTGAATATGTTTGCAGAAGTAGTATTGTTCTATTATAATGTGAATTCTGAAGAAAGAAAATATTTTTAATGCATATTTGCTTTCATTACATTATTTACTGTGTGTATCGTGAATGGTTACAAAACGATAAAAAAGGTCACCAAGTCTTCGCGTCTTATCCGGTCTTGATCAATTAATCTCGGACCGGTATTGGATATAATTGTTTGTATCTTAATGTTAAAGCTCTCAAATGCGGTTTATCCAGTACATTATAAATAGACGACCGTGAAGGAAGTGGCATTTCGAATTTCTCTACCATCATGTTCGCGTCTACATGGATCTTACTGGCGTTCGTAATATGCATTCTCCTCTACATCTTCTGCATAAAACCGTACATCTTTTGGTATACGAAAAGGGTGCCTGGTCCAATACCCGTTCCAATATTCGGTAACATTCTGGAGAACATTTTGCAGATCAAGCCGTTCACCAATGTGATCACGGATTACTGCAAAGCGTTTGAGAAACACAGGTGCGCACAATTCGAAAGATTTATTTTAAAAAAGAAATCGTTAAATTGTATATTTTTCGCAGATATTATGGATTCTACCAGTTCTCTAAGCCGGTGCTCATCCTGAACGATTTACAGCTGATCAAGCAGATGAGTATTAAAGATTTCGAACACTTTGCAGACCACGGGACAAATTCGCGCGAAGACATCGATGAGTACTTCTGCAAAATACTGTTCGCTCTGAAAGGTTGCGTAGCATCAGATGAATTTTACAATTTTTAATTATATTTTTTAGGTGAATCCTGGCGACGTATGAGAACGACGATCAGCCCCGTTTTTACCGGAAGCAAAATGCGTTTTCTTTTCGGATTGGTCAGAGATTGCGCCGAGAATGCAGTGAGTTATCTGCATGAACAGAAGGAGGAAGTGATCGAGGTGGAAATGAAAGATTTCAGCGGAAGGATAGGAAACGATGTTATAGCTAGTTGCTCACTTGGCATCACCTGCGACTCGCTGCGAAATCCAGAAAATGAATTCTACGTTAATTCAATTAAAAATTTCAATTTCGTAGGCAGCAGACTTATGGTGCTCTACGCGTTCATCTTCAACGCTTATCCAAACCTCTTAAAGGTAATAAAGCTGATCAATGATAGTAGTTACCATTATTGAAACATTAATATCTTGCAGCTATTTGGCATCCGGATTTTCGGCAAGAAAATGACAAGCTTCTTCAATAAGGTGATCGCCGATTCAATAAAATATAGGAAAGACAACAATGTTACTAGGAGCGATGTGATCCAACTGTTGATGGATGTTAAGAAAGAAAAGTCATTTATAACGGATCATGATATCGTGGCGCAAGCATTGTCTTTTTTCTTCGCCGGTTTTGAAACAGTTACTTACAGTATTTCCTTCATGTGCTACGAATTAGCTTTGAATCCTGACGTACAGGATAAACTGTATGAAGAAATTCAGGCCACTTTTGAAGGAGACGTTAATTACGAAGCTTTTGCTAAAATGAAATACATGGATATGGTTATTACAGGTATTAAATTTAAAAAAAAGTAAAGTTTTAAAAACATACATTTTTTTCAAGAAACTTTAAGGAGATGGGGACCCTCGGTGGTGATCGATAGAGTTTGCACCAAAGACTACAAAATACCAGCAAAACTACCGAATGAACGCGATCTGCTCATCAAGAAAGGACAGCTAATCTTTATTCCCGTACACGCAATGCACTGGAATCCCGAAATTTACGAGGATCCACATAGATTCTATCCGGAGCGATTCCTGGATAAAAATTCTGCAGATCCTAACAATCTGCTCAGCTTCGGCATCGGACCAAGAAGTTGTATCGGTTAGTATCATTTCATCGATCAATTTATGCAATATTTTTTTTATCAATTGATATACTTTCAGGTTCGAGATTTGCGATTTTAGAATGCAAATTGATGTTGGCTTATCTACTGAAAGATTACGAGATTGTTCCCATCGCAAGAACCAAGATTCCCATCAAGCTCAGCAAGAAGCACATGGGAGCAAGCGCAGAGGGCGGTTTCTGGATGGGACTGAAGAGACGAAATTGATTGTTGTATAATTTAAAAGCGGACTAAATAAATAAACGATAAAAAATGGTTAAATTTAATTTCGTTCCGAAATGAGACTACGTAATTTCGTGAGCAGATTTAAAATCCATATTTTGTGCAGCGATGGAGCGGAGACACGAATTATGGCAATCAATCGCATTTTAATAGTGATTGGAACCGCTGGTACCCGTCACCGATCATTTCTGTTATTTTCCCTGCTTCGCTCATTTATTTTATGCACGTATTCTCCGAGCGGCCGTCGAGCGAGTCAACTTATTTTCCTCGAACGGAAAATGCAAGCAGTCCAGGTAAAGTACGGAGGTGGATTCCTTAACGATGAGCTGGTACTGTGGAAGAAGCAGAAAGAGTACGCGAGATACAAGAAATGTCAAGAACAAAAACAGGTAAAGATATTTTGTTTGGAGAAATCATCCGCAGATGGTTTACACTTTTGTTTACGATTTTTCAGGTGCGCGATATGATGGAAAACTATTGGCCGTGGGAGGACAACGCGCAGGTAAAACCACGAGGACTCAAAAACTTGCGATTGGATGGACTCTTTCCGCAGAGAGACTTTGAAAATGTAATATGTTTATAAATTTATTCATTATTGAGATTAACACAAATCAATGGTAAAATTTGTACGTTTCAGGCTAAACGATTTTCAGGAATTTTAGATCTGGGTCGACCTGGAGGTGGAGCGCCAAACGTGAACCGCGATACCGGAAGGAAACTGCTTAAGACACGCGAGGATCCATTGCTTCGGTTCCAGTGGGGCAAAGATCTAAGAAACACGGTGGACAATAAACTGCGTTACCACACGGACAAGAATCAGCAAGAGAAATATAGAAAGGAATTAGGCAATCGAGCGGAAATGATTTAAAGATAATATATTTAACATTTATCTTACAGATAGAATGGTCGAGGAGAAGATCAATGAAAAACTTCAAGAGAAGACGCGCAACGATGGTGGGAATAAAATAGCAAAACGACCAGCAAAGAATCGCGAATTTCCTCAAACGGACAAATGGATTTCGAAACGCTACCAACGGCTCTCCCCTTTACACAATGGTAAAGATCTCGGGATTGAGCTGGTCCCATTGATGATACAGAAACGAACGCCTCCTAAGATTCCTCTCGGAACGACGGATGTAACGAGAAACGGCGAAGAATGGTTTATTGCCATCAAATAAATGCATAGAAAAGAACAAAAATGAATTTTATGTAACTTTCTAGTACGAACGCTCAACAATGGAACGAAAGCCAGTTGTATTTGAAAGCACTCCTGAAGCAGATGAGCGGCAAACGAAGATGCTTGCAGGTAGAAGCGGTAATCTGTAGAAAATCGAACGACAATAGCAATCATTGTCTTTCAGGAAACGAATTCTTCGGATCTCGAAGGATCCATGAAGCATTTCGAAACTTGGAGCAAAATCTGGGGTAGACCCGGACACGGCGCGCCCAGATCTTCCCTCCGGAAAGGTTGCATAGAGAAAATGCTATACCCAAAGATGATCCCAATCGCTTAACGCTTCAATATTGAATTAAGATTCAAAAGAAGTGAAAAATAGAAAATTGCAATTCGTAGAACAAAATATACAAGAACAATTTGCAAGAAAACTTGAACAAGAAATGTAATGCTTTCTAATAACTTAAAATATAATTGTATTGTCATTGTGTTTATTAATTTGCACGTAATATCTTTTGCTATGAATTATAGACAATTAAATCCCTATATTTCTAGCATTAAAACCATTTGCAAAATCTATATTAAATTGCATTGAAAGACATAATGTGTTAAACAAGTAATACAATATATTCGCTTATTTTATTTATAAAAAATCGGAAATTATAAACATGGTAAAATATTTTATTCAAATTGGACAACTGTAGATGTTCATGCCTTTGTCCTCTGAAACGGACATAATCTTCGTGTTGTCTGGACTGAACTTTACACCCCACACCTGTAACGGTAATAAAAAATTAAATAAAAATAAACGTTAAAATAAATATTCAATTATATGACCTGATCGTTGTGTTCATGAAAAGTGTGGATGCACTGTTTCGTACTAACTTCCCACACCTTAACAGTCTTATCAGAGCTACCAGAGACGAAGTGCAAACCATCAGGAGAGAAGGCGACACTCAGCACCCAGGAAGCATGGCCAGATAGAGTACCAACAACGTTAGCATGTTGCCTGAAATATAAACAAATTTAGTTTGATGATTGAAGATTGTTTGTGTTTAAGAAATTTACACGTCGTATAACTTCATATGTCCATCGTCTGAAGCGGTCAAAAGGAACTGAGAGTCAGGCGAGAAACAAAGAGATCTGATGGGCATAGCGTGTCCCTCCAAAGTATGACACAATTTGCTGGATGCCACATCGAAGATGTTGATGATGCCATCAATAGCACCGCTCGCAATGTACTTCCCATCCGGGCTCTGCAATTAAATCAATAATTATTGAAATCTTTTTTATTAGAGAACTCACATATGCTATGCTAAGCGAAAATTTCCCTCTGGTATCATAAGTCTGGTCAGCCTTAGCATTTTCCACGCTGTACAGTGTAATCTTTCCAGCGTGCGATCCGGAAATAATGAATTTATCGTCGGGACTGAAAGCGACTGTCCATAGATCCACGGGTCCTTCCTCAATATTGGAGATTTTCTCACCCTTCTCCAAATCCCAAATACGCATACTAGAATCCAAAGAGCTCGAAACACACACTAAAAACCAATTGTTAAAGAAATATTAACAATATTTTTTTTTTTGTTAATCACATTTTCCATTATTGCTAATAGCAACTGAAACAACGCCTAATGAATGTCCTTCCAAGTTATGTTTCAAAGACACCTTATCATCTTTAAGACTCCACACTTTGACCAAATCATCTAAACCTCCTGTTACTATGTAATCTTCAAAATCATCCTCAGCATCTCTAACAAAGTAACAATTAATAATTCAAGTAGATTAACAATAAGTAAATATTACTTCTTATCGTCCTCAGCTTGTTTCTCTTTAACCTTTGTGTTCCTACCCCAAGCACAACTCCAAATGCTATCTTCATGTGCTGAATCTTTCTTTTGCAGCACCGAATACTGAAATACGATTAATCCAATTAATAATATATTAAACTAAAGTGCATTAAAGACTCACCATTATATTAATACTTAATCTCAGCGCCGATTATTTCAAACTTCTTATAGGTTATGTTTATTATGACATTTGTATGATAATAATATAATTTTGTACTAATTTGCAACCGAACGTTAAGATTTCATTAGCAAATTGAAATCAATTTAAATAATAACAAATATTTAAATGGTAAATTAAAATTTGTTAGGATCTTTTAGAAGTACGATTTAGAGTTAAGTTGGTCAAAGTGATGCAGAAACGTCAAATATTAATGTATTCTTAGTTAGTGACGTTGAAACATAAACAAATTCTTATTTAATTTACTACTTATTAATCGAGTTTTGTGAAGATATAATGTCTGGATTCACTAATGATAATGAAACGTACTGGAGTCAGCAGCAAGGTGATCCTCAGAGGATGCAAAATCCTTACTACAATCCAGAGGCTGATTACTCAAATCTGCAATCACAACAGCTAGGTAAATAGAAACTGAAGAATTAGTAAATCCGGCTTGAAACAAGTAGAATCTTAGCATTATTTATGTGAGATTATTTCTGTTTAGCCACAGTTGTCAAGATTGAGGATAAAACAAGTTAGTATTGCTAACTGTTTACAACATATATTTATTTTCTGTTATTGTTTTCATTTATTAATTGCTTATTGTGGTTTAATTTTTACAGATTTTCAATCATTCAGTGAAGAGCAAAAGTATGCAGGGCAGAGTAGCCAATTTCAGTATCCAGAGATGTTCACTCCAATGCCCCAAACCTATGCAGAAGAGGGAAATGACAATGAGTTTGATGAGCCTCCTTTGCTGGAGGAGTTGGAGATATACCCTGATCGCATCTTAGAGAAAACCATTGCTGTTTTAAGACCATTCAGGAGCGAATGCCTAACTGATGATGCTGAATTCCTGGCTAAACAAACTGATTTGGCTGGACCAGTGGCGTTTTGTTTATTATTAGCTTGTTGTTTGTTTATTTCAGGCAACAAAGCGCCATTTGGTTATATTTATGTGCTCTCTGTGATCTCATGTTTCTTGATGTATGTCCTATTAAGCCTGATGACAAACTCGACAGGAATTTTCACGTTGTCAAGTGTAGCAAGCATTCTGGGCTATTGTTTACTGCCGATTGTCGGACTTTCGATAATTGGAGTCTTCTCTACGTTGCACGGAAATTTCGGTATAATTTTAGCGATTTTAGTCATTTCCTGGTCGAGTATTTCCGCTTCGAGATTGTTTTGCGCCATGTCGAAGGATTACGAACAAAGGCCATTAATTGCTTATCCCTGTGCTCTTGTTTATGGTGTATTTGCTTTACTCGTTGTTTTCTAAATCTCAAAATAAACTATTTTAACCCTTATTGAACGATGTTTTAATTATGCTTATCCTTTTTGAAAATATCCTTAAAAAGTCGTTAGCGAGATGAAAAGTCCCTAAAAAATTCCGAGAATCCCCCAAAAGGCGCATCTGACAAAATGTATAAATTCGGAACCCTCCTGCATTTCTCTTGCAGAAAGTTTTAGGCTTTCGAAGGTAACACAGTTCCTTTTCCTGGAACTAAACCGAGGGTAGTTTGGGATAGATCTCAACGAACCATAAAGTGTGGAAACACCGGTTGACAACCATCACTTTTGCGTTGGTAACCGTTCGAGCAGTACCATCGTTTCGTTGGCAGCACACACCAACCTTCAACATGGCTTCATCAGGTTAGTACAGTTCATTATTTGTCACGTGTAGCTTTCAAAATGATTTTTTATTAATAATAACGCGAAAAAAAATTGCCGGTTTCTCGAATACTCAGCAAAGGGATAATCCCCACACTTTTAAGTAAGTGATCCGGCTCTACGATGACCGGGGACGCCCTTAAAACCTGATTAAAAAAGGTCATGAGGGCACCGCGTGGGCCACATGGAATTTCCCTTCGAAAAATCCATACGGCTTTAATTTCCTTACATTCTTCTGTTTTTCAACTGCCAAATCACTAGCTACAATACTATAAATGTATTAATTATGTGTTATGTCACCTCATGGAGCTGATTTCCACTGATATGATTTTTTTTTGATGCTAAATTCTGTTTGCTTTGTAGGGAGGAAAGGAAAGAAATCAAAGGGTAAAACTGTGCCCTTAAATGATTTTCTCCAGGACACTCCTGGCCCCACAGCCATAATACCTGTAAGGAGTAGCTCGAACTGGGCTGACGAAGTTGAAGATTCATATGGTGAGTGTCCATTTCCATTTGCTCTTAATTATTAAATTAGGTATTGAAATGATGATCAATAAATGGTGAAATGTTTGCTCCTCTCTTGTGTCCAAAGGTCAATGACAATCTTGCATCTGGGGCTTACAGACAGAGTACTTGTTACTATTATTTCTGAGCCACGGGAAGGTCTGAGAAAAGCTAATTCAATGTCCTAGAAGGGCGTCTGCATGTTGCAGAGTGAGGGAACCAGAAACATGCAAATCTCTGTCATTTAACCTAGGAAGGCTTTAAAGCCTGAGGCGTTTGGCTTGATTTGTTGGAAACTCTTGTAGCTGGCTGTTTTAGTGCAATCTGCAAGCTGTTTTGTTCCTCGCGGACAAATCAGAACTCGATTCAGACTAATCTGTTATTGACCTTGTACACATTATTGATGGAAAACACTTTCTGATGACATTTAACGTATCTGAATGTAAAACGTGGATAACATATTTTTTGTTTTTATATGCATCTTGTTACAAGTCCTTTATTTTTTTATTTAAAGATTCCTATGAATCGAGGTCGTCCTCTAAGCATACAAATGTCGTTTTACCAACGGCACCGAAGGCTGCACGAGGATTGGAGGATATCGGCGATAAAATCCCGACGAGTCCGCCTTTTATGGCATACCTCTCCAATCTACCCTATGATGTCGAAGAAGACGAAATTGCAGATTTTTTCTGCGACTTGAAGATCTCGAATATGCGAATTCCGAAGGAGGTGAGACCTGAGGAAGGAACCAGAGTTAAAGGGTTTGGATATGTGGAGTTTGAAGACCAAGAGAGCTTGGTTGAAGCCCTGTCAAAGACCGTTTGTACATTGAAGGGTAGACGAATAAGGATTGAGGTGGCCACGAGTTCCGATACTGATAGGCGTCGCGGAGGGCGTATGGATATGAATCGCGATCGTCCTGAGAGGCCGGAGGTCTCTATGGGCGATTGGAGATCAAACAGCGGCAGAAAAGAGCCTGAACCGGAAAGGCGTAGTTACCGCGATGGCGGTGGCGGTGGCTTCAATAGGTCGGAGAATCAAGGCGGTGGCGGCGGCTTTAATAGATCGGAAAATCAAGGAGGCGGTGGCTTCAATAGATCGGAGAATCAAGGCAGTAGTGCTTGGAGGGATGGAAACGATCGTCCTAGTTACAGGGATAGCGCCCCGATTACAAGAGATGGCGGTTACAGAGAAAGCGCCCCGATGACCAGAGAGGGCGGATCTTACAGAGATAATGGTCCAAGAGAAGGCGGATCATACAGAGATAATGGCCCAAGGGATGGTGGGTCTTACAGAGATAACGGTTCCAGGGATGGTGGATCCGGTCGCGGATTTGGTCCGAGGAGGTACGATGATCGCAATGAAAGGCGGGATGATGATAGGCCGTCAGACCGTGAGTCGCGCATTCGACCAAAATTGAATTTGGCTCCAAGAACTAAGCCAATTGAGAATCCGTTGCCGCCGCCTCCAGAAAAGGAGCAGGAACCGGAACCGGTGCCAAGACCAGCTCCAGTTCCGGCCGCTTCCATCTTCGGAAGCGCTAAACCAGTGGACACCAGCGCCAGAGAAAGGCAGATCGAGGAACGTTTAGCTAAACAGGTCGGCGATGGACAAGAGAAAGATGATAGGAGGCGTGATGATTACAGGGGGAGAAGATCTCCGGATGGTGGTAGGAGATACTCTCCGGATCGCAGGCGCGATTCTTCAAGAGGCTCACCTGATCGCAACCGAGGAGGGCAACGCAAAGGTAAATTCAATTTTACTCATTCAAAGTTTGTTGTTTTTCTCATCAATCTTTAGCGGCAATCTTGCATTTGGGACTCACGCACATAGTATAGATTAATTACTAATCTAGTCTCGGGAAGGTCTGAGAAAGGCTCCTACGCTCTAGCTGGGCGACTGTCTATGGACAGGATGGGGGAACCAGAAATTCTGGACGGTATCGTCTATGCCCAGGATGGTTCTTATTCAAGTAACTTGAGGTGTCTGATCTGCGTTCCTTGGAAACCCCCATGGCCGGCAATTTTAGTACAATGTGCGAGCTGGAGAACTGAATATCCAGAACTCGATTCAGACTAATCTGCCGCTAAAACACCAACATATTCATATGAGAAAACCGAACGGAGGATGATTTTTTGCTTTTGGTTTTACAGATGACCGAAGGGCTCCACCGCCGAGATCAGACAAATCAGAGAAGAAACCAGCAAGGTAATATACATGCATTAATCATATCAATATCTTAGTTACATTTCATTTATTTTAAATCGCAATCTCATATATTATTTGTGTTAACGCAGATCTGGTGAATACACTGAAAAGGATATGCCAAAGTTGAAGACGCCGGAGCCGGTGAACATTGTCGCTAAAAACCAGTATTCGTATTTGTCCGAAGGATCGGAAGAATCTGAAGATTGAGGAGTATTGAATAGCATTTTTTTTACATGTGCAGTTTCATCTCTCGTCGCTGGATGGTCAGGGACTGCACATTAACAACTATCACATAATACAAATTATATACATATTTATATATGTAAATGATTGGATAACATTTTTTGGGGAAGGAAAACGGTAATTATTAATTATTGAAGGATTATATAAATATTTAAGCGCAAGGCAGTGCCAACGTGGATCGACCGCGCTACTCTATCGATTATTTTGTAAGATTTTGTTTCTTTAAAGGATTATTATATGCGTGCAGTGCATATCTAGTCCAGTATAATTTATATATATATATATAATTTATATGTATATACATTTTACATAATACGTTTATCCTGTCCCCTCCCACTTCAAGTTGTATGTGTTTGTATTCTTAAGACTAGTTTTTTAATTATTATATCGATTTTGACATTAGTTAGATTAATTATATTGGACTAGCTTCGGACTTCTTGTTTCTGAGGACATCTTCTATTAATATTGTTCTACAGCTGCATTTTCTTCTATTATTTCCGAGGAAACGCTGAAAAGGATCGATCGATTATTACATATTTTTTTTTCCTAAATATTTCGATTTACGTAGGTTTAAGATTTAGCTATAAAAATATTTCATAACGATTTTTTTTTGTTTTCTGTATCTTGTGCCATTTGTTGGTTTTTTTTTATATATATACATAATTATAGTGTTTCTGGCACCCGCGTAAAAATGGGATTTAAAAGGTTCAATAAAGTACACAAAATGCACACATTTTTATCTTTTATTCACATAAATTATATTCGTTTTTCAGAGCAAAACGTGTATTTTGCAATGTTTGTTAACAGGTATTTTTTTAAATCTGTTTTAACATTTGATTTTTATAGCAATTTTATCAAATATGTAAAATTGCTGAAAATATGTTAGTGTAGTTCATTACAACATTTCTAAATTAACAAAATTAATTAACGTAATGTATATTTGGTTGCCTAAAATTGGTTATAATGTGATATAATACAGCGCCAAAATAGCTGAACTATTGTAATTCACAAACAATTTACAGATGGAGCCGAAAGAATGGAAACTATTATCTTCATCCAGAAATGCATGCAACCATACCTACAAATATTACATTTGTAACATGTATTATTTTTGATATAACGAAAGATTTATAATTTTTAAGATAATATGAAAAAATAACAAAACTTATTAGATTCTTTTCGAAAAATTCTATATTAATTGAATGTGAATTGCTCAACTTTGATATCACATTGCAACTAATAAATAAAAGTAAATAAATCATACAAATAAATAAAAATTAAAGATTACAAAGTGTTAACAATTTAATTTTTAAACTGCAAGCTACTAATGGAAGTTATTCAACTTTTCTTTTTCGTTCATATCTTATAGGTAACCCACTGATCATCTGCTTTTACTAATTTAGTTGTTAATGGGCTTTTAAGGGTCGTAATTAATTACATAAAGATCTATTAGCAATAAGTTTTAGTAACTTGTTGCTTGTTGGTGGGTTTACCAGGAGGAGGCGCTCGTACCCTTTGACAATCGAAGTTTGATTGGTGACGTGTATGTCAAAGTCAAAGGTTTGTTATTGCTAGTTATTTTTTTAGTCATCTCTTAATATATAATATATTTTTATAATATAATTATAAATAATTGCAGGCTGTATATTAGGGAGCCAGTATAAATGTTCTGCTTATAACGATGGCTTCTCTGTATAGCGCTTCCACCGCCATCATTTACTTAACCACAGTCGTGCTGCTCCTAATTGGATCAGTGTCCTGCACCGAATTAACTTTTGAATTACCAGATAGTGCCAAAGAATGCTTCCACCAGGAAATACAGAAAAACACATCTGTCACTCTAGAATTTCAGGTAACATATCTAAACAACAATTTGGATCCATCTGTGATTTGTATTTTTCAACCGTAGGTGGTGACTGGTGGTCAGTATGATGTGGATGTGATTTTGGAGGATCCAAAGAAGTCAGTGATCTACAAGCAAGTCAAGATGCAATTTGATTCGCACACATTCACAGCACAGCACACTGGAGTATATATTATATGCTTCAGCAATGAGTTCTCAACTTTCTCACACAAACTAGTCTACATGGATCTCCAAGTTGGAGAGGAGCAGCCTCTACCTGGTATTGGCGAGCACGTGACAGCCCTTACACAGGTAATGAAGAAGCTACAGTCAATGCAAAGATTTTAATTCACATTTTTCTCTTGTTCAGATGGAGTCTTCAGCGCAAGATATCCACAAGGCTCTGGTCCAGATTCTCGATTTCCAGACGCATCATCGGCTACGCGAAGCGAAAGGCAGGAAACGCGCTGAAGATCTGAATGAGAGGGTTCTGCTGTGGTCGCTGATGGAGACGGCCTTCATGTTCAGCATATTGCTGCTGCAGATTACCGTCGTTAAGCGCTTCTTCGCCGACAAGAAGTCATCAGCACCCTACTAGGACACTTATGAATAAGTAAACTGACTTCAATTGTGCGCGGTGCAAACATTAATTAAATTGTGTTTCCTCTCTTTTGCCATAGTTATATAAAAAAAATATCGACGACACAATCATTGCAACAGTATTGATCTTCTGTTAAATAATATATTTGTTTCCTTCGAATAAACATTCACCTTGGTTGAGTTCATAATTGCATACATGGGTTTCTTTTTTTGTTGTTAATGTTAAATATTTTATTAAAAAATATATATAGTGCAATCATCAGAAACTTATTAAGTTTGATCCACACTCCAAGCCTTCCCAACTTCATATGTGATTTGATTACTAACTTGTAATTTCCACGTCGGTTAGTGTAAATGTTTACATCATGTTGGAATAATGTTAAGTATCAGGAAACAAATTGTAAATAAAACGAGTAAGTATATTATTGTAAATAATAGTTGTCCTTTATTAATAAAGCCAAGTACAATTTGTACCTGCACTCCCACCACTTTATCGCTTCCTGTGCAATTGAAGGGTGTTCCTTCTGCGCCAGGCGGCCCTGCGGGAACCACCGATGGTCTGGGAGTACCTGTGTCCCTTGCCCAATCCACGGGAAGACTTGCCAGCAGAGGTCTTTCCACGGAGTTCACGGTGCTTGTGTACAGCGTTAACCAACCAGTTGATTTTGGGATCACGACGGATAGCCTGCAACAGAAAATTCGATATAAATCACCATCAAACATAAAATGTGATTCCTTTTTGAAACTTTCAAGTTTATTTCAGACATCCAAGGAAGAAAACAAATCATTGAAAAATCATGTTTCAAATAGGTATCATCATGTAGTTTTATAAATATATAGAGGTTTGAAATGAAGATGAGAGTACTTACGTTGTGGCTTGGGTCAATTAAGATCACTTCAAAGTATTTGTAAGACGAATCTTGAGCGACCCAGTATGAGTTGAGGACACGGAGTCCACCGCAGCGTCTGCCAACACGTTCCTAAAAGTAGTGAAAAAAAAAACAAGATTAATAACAAATTCTATTAAAATCAACTAAAATTCAGATAAATTTGAGATTATTTCAGACATCCAAGGAAGTTGCTAATCACAGAGTATCACAAGCATAATTTGGTATCATCATGTAAAAAGTTAATTGTTTTGTTACTCAAATTATATCTTAATTTGGTGAAAGATCACTTAGTATACAAACTATTTGAATTACTATTGTTATGTTCTAATACATAACAGAGTAGTATTGATTTTGGTTATCAATATATGACAGCAAGTCAAACCGTTTGTTTACTAATTTTCATTAAGTATCTCAATATGAATTTACCTCAGCAATGGATTGCAAGTTGCGGGTTGGTTTCAATTCGTTGACACCATGGCTTCTGGGTTTGCCATAAGTGGCACCCTTCGGGACTGGGCGCTTGCGACCACCACGGCGGACGCGAATGCGGTAGATTACGAAACCTATAAAATTGGACAGCATTAGTTTAAGCCCTATGAAGTAATTAAAAAATGGTCTTACCTTGTTTGGCCTTGTATCCTAACCTGCGGGCTTTGTCAGGGCGAGAGGGCCTTGGAGCCCTATGCATTTTAGTCATCTGACGGTACTGCCATACTCTGATTCTCAACAAGAACCTGAGAGTGTCACTTTGTTTCTTACGGTACAATTCTTGCATATACCTGTAGGCCCCCATGATGAATGGACCTACAAAAAAAAAACAAAGTATATGTAGTAAGCAGTCTGCAGGCACTTATAATAACATGCGAAACACAACCTCAAAAATTGTTGTTTTCGGGGAAAAAATGGAAAAATAAGAAATAATATCTACGTGGACGTTTAAAGATCGTGAAGAGGAATAGGATGGTGTTTGTTGCACTTACTCGGAGTCAAAGATGGTTAAGAGAAACTCGGATAGAAATTAGAAAATAAGCAAGAGAAACATACCTACTTCGACGGCGTAGAACGGAAGAGGAAGGATAAACAACTACGGGGCACAGTTGGTATGCCGGAGCACTAGCGACACCCTACAGAATTAAAGCAAACTTTTAAAATATTGTATAACCATGTGAAATTCAATACATTTTATGTAATATAATATTTTAAATATCACATAAGCCGTAATTATTGATTTTCAATTGAAATAATACACTTTATAAATAAATTTAGTTTATTTATACCAGGTGTGCATAAAGTTGCCTATATTGCAACTCTTATACACATTTATAAACTCATTCAAATTGGAAAATTAAAGTTAATTAAACTTACTAAATAATATAAATATCATCAATTGATTACAATATTTTCATACTAATTAGAGCATAAAAAATGAAGATTATCTGTTTTCTTTGGATTAACTACACAAAATAATATTTTTTAATGTATAATTCATATACTTTTATTAATTTCTATAATTTGTATCCATATAATATTACATTACTACAATTTAGATATTATTATAGATTGAAAAATATACAATTTTATTAAGAAATCTTCATACTACAGGAAAGACGATACGATTGAAATTTTGATTGATGAAAAAGTAAAACTTGATAACGATTTTATTTAAATCTTTAATAATAATAATTTAATCATCGTAAATAAATACTTTTACATAAGCAGTTTAAAGTGCGGCCAAACAGGCGGTCAGAGCAAAAGCCGCAGCGACCATGACGTAACCAGTGGTGTAGACCTCTTTGATGGTCAGGAATTTGCCAGCATCCCAAGACAAGTGGCGAATACCATTAAGGAAGTGGTATGAGAATGGGAAAGCCAGCATCATTTTGATGGAGAAGATGCAGGCACTGTTAAGATGAAGACCATCCAAGAAGGTAGTGAAATCACCGGGTAACATAGCGCCAAATCCAAAGGCCATGGCATATCCAGACAGCATACATCCTAAAAATATACACAAACATTAATTAAAATATATAATATGCAATTAACTTGATTATATCTTTCTATTTAGAACTGTTAAGTTAGATTGAAAATAATCAATAATATTACCAGTGATACGATGGGAAATTGACAAGGTGCTGGTCAATTGAACTTGGTACACAGTCAAATGGGGAGAGCAGGGTCTGCCCAATTGCATGTTCTTCTCATCGTGGCCTTGCTTTGGCGGCTCCTTGTAGGGTTGAGCCTGGATGGTTACAGGTCTGACAAACAAGAGGCTGTTCCTCTCAGAGTTAGCCAACCTCGAGCATAATTGTCTACCTGCTAACCTGCAATTACATAACAATTTTAGATGGCAATTTGCATAAAGTGTAAACCAGTTATTTTAATGATATTTCAGTACTAATTGAAGACATGACATAAACTTATTACCTGCAAATCGCAGACATTATTACTTATTTCCTTTAAGATGTTGAAACCTGTATGGAAACTTGAAAGACAAGCTAGAACTGTCACTGGTTTGCCTAACTTAAATAACCAGGTATATCTGTGACAGCTGTCAAAAATTGTTTTAAACTTTTGACCGAGTGCTGTTAATAAATATATACTTTAATTAATTGTTATTAACTGGGATTAATTGAATTGTAAGTAATTTAATAATGTACAAATTAAAATTATTAATGTCTCAGATTTATGTTTATTACAATTGTTGTGTTAGTATTTATTGAATAGTGTTAACATGTATATAAACGTATTCCTGTATTTTTTATTTAGAGCTTTGCTATATGCAATAATTTCTTTATATATTATTCATTTGTTAGTGTAATTGGAAACACTTTGGGTTAACAATACTAATTTAATTAAATACATGTTTTAAGTATAAAAAAATATCAGTAATAATTTGAAATATTATTATTTTTGAGTGCGCTAATGATTGAATATTATAATATATTTTATTAATATTTCCAAACAACATTGGCCTTGATTTGACTTCCTCTGTATTTGACATCCAATAGCAGATCAGCATTTTGAAACACCTCCAGCGTGCTTCTATTATTAAGTTCAAGATAGCGTTGGTTGCGTCATAGCGTCGTTCGTGCAGCGTTTTGTAACGTTTTTCCGTTACGTCGAGCCGATAACAATACGAAAATACACTTGAGGTGAGTCTGATAGTACGTAATTAACATATTTTTGAAATTTCGTTACGGTCTGGTGATTGCACCGATAAAAAGCGAAATTGGCGCGAACCTAACCTTCCTTGTTTACAAACAAATTCATGGCATATGTAAATTCCTCAGATGGCGGGTAAAGCTGACCCAAAGGCGAAAGTCTTGAAAGAGACCACAGATGATCAAGTTACCAAGAAGACAAGGTCTTATCGAAAGTCTCCGTCGAGGGTGGAGGTGCCGCCAAGCCCCACAACTCGTGGTCGCGCCAAGAGCCCTGCCCGAAATGTTGGAGTTAAAGTTGATTCGTCGCCGTCGCGCACTAAAAACCTTACAAAGACCCCAGAAAAGAAGAGGCCTCGAGGCAGGCCAAAATCTCCTGCTAGAAAATCCCCAGTCTCAAAGTCACCACAGGGAAGGTCACCTATAATAAGAACTCAGGGCAGACCAAAGTCCCCAAGCAGAAAGTCTCCTGCTAGAACAAAGTCTCCAAGCAGGAAGTCTCCTTCACGACAGAGATCTGTGGGAAGAAAGTCTGAATCTCCCTCACTTCTTAATTTTGATTTTTCTCTTAAGAAACGTAAGTTCTCTTATTTAAGACAAGTCATTTAAATTATAAAATTTCAATTTTATTACAATAATGTTTTGTAGCTTCCGAAAAACCGATACTTGAAGTGCTTAATTCGGATTCCGATGATGAAGTTGACTCGAAACCAAAGGTTGTTAAGCAGATGACGCCTGTAAGGAGGTCTTCACGAATCCGCGAGGTTGAGAGAATTGTGCATCTGAGGCCGCCGATCGCCAAGATCTCGGAGTTTTCGGACGAGGATGATATGGAAGTCCAGTTAGCTTTCGAACCTCAACAGCAGAAGCCTGAAGAAACAAAGTCAAAATACTGGCGTTTCGTGGGCGCAATGCTCGAGATGGTCATGACTGCGGTTTTGTTTATTAGCATGCTTGTAATGTGCAACGAGCTGCAGTGCAGTTTTAGTATCCCTGACCTTAGCAGATTCAAGCAATTGGATACATTTTTTGACCTTCCTGTTTTCTTATCTTTTACCGCTTACGTGCTTCTCATCGCTATACTGTCTGCGCTGCCGTTCGGTGGCAAAAAATGTGAGGGTTTGTTAACCATTCATGGCAAGTTCCAATACGTGATGAACGGATTATTCTCTGCAGTCACGATTTTATCTGTGGCCATAGGGCTGGAGTTGAAGGGGATCCGAGTTAGCGGATACATCCAGGAGCATTTCCTGAAGTTGGGTGTTTCCGGATTCGTTTTGGCTCTACCTCTAGCATTCTTCTTGTACTTTAAAACATTATTTTCACCGGTATGTTCCTTGAAGTATACTGCCCTGCAAAACACTGGATTGTACAATTTCTTTTATGGAAGCGAAGTAAATCCGAGGATTTACGGAGTTGTGGATGTGAAAATGCTTTTGCACAGAGTCAGCTTTATTTCGATTCTGCTGTTGGCCAGTAGTTTTATCTACGAAAGCTTGGAATGCGACGATCTGGTCGATTGGAGTTTGAAGGGCGTTTTAGATGTTTGGTATACTTTGAAGTTCAACAGCAGCGTTATGACAGTTTGCATCATGATCATCGTGAACAGTTTGGATTCTCTGATATTCGAGCATACCTTGCTCTCTTCCAAGGAAGTCCAGTATGAGAGTGTTGGTTACAGGAAGTGCTTGGAGTCGTTCTGCTTCATTTTCCTGTACTCCATGATTCCCAAGTTCGTTCTTGACTATGGAATTCAATCGACATGGTATAAATGTTTGGCCTGCGGAATATTTTTCCTGGCTGGCTACATAATATATAGAGGAAGTAATTCCCAAAAGCATGCCTTTAGACAGAATCCATACAGCCCATCCATTTCGCGTAAGTTGAACATTAGATATATTTAAATCTAATATAATAAGCTTATAATTTATTATTTCCAGATCTGAATAGCATTCCCACCAACATGGGGAAGAGCTTGATTTGCTCGAGCTACTGGGGCGTTGTTCGTCATCCCAACTATACGGGTGACATCATGATGAACCTGAGTTTGTTACCATTCGTGTGTTGTTATCCACCATGTATAGTGATATACACCGTCGTTCTGTTTTTGGTGCAAAGGGCGTACGATGACAATAAGCGCTGCAAAGACAGATACGGCCCAGCGTGGGATCGATACTGCCAAAAGGTCAAATACGTATTGATACCAAAAGTATATTAAGTAGCAACATTAGAATACCGATGTGCCTTAAAGCCTGTTTAAAGTCGGGTAAGTTAACTTGTCGTTAACGGTTATAATGAAAATACATGATATTTTAAATATAACTCGTCGTCACTGTGTGACTGCTAGAGAAAAATTACGAGGAGAAACCAATGTAATAGTTCCAATTGATCTCCGATCGTCTGTTTTAATGTTTTATTTTTAATTCTCGAATGTTTATCGCTTTAATAATTATACATGACAGTTAGCTTAGTTTTAGAGTATTTGCGGTTTCTAATAGACAATGTGTGCAATGTCCCTACTTCTATTCTTTTTGTATTAATTTGATTTTATATGTTTTATAATGTTGAGTATTTTATTGTAATTTTTTTTTTCTTTTTTTTTTCTTTTTACGTAGGAATGTAGCAAATTTATGTTCTATTTCATATATATGTACATTTGTATTTTATGTAGGGAAAGTTTCATTATTTTGTACTTGTTGATTCAAATAAATATTGAACAGTATTGTTTTGGTTTCTCATCAACAGGTAAATTTGTAACAAAGATTATATACCATGTTTAAGTTATAGTTTTCTATTTAATTGATTGATGGAAATTGAAAACATTTGGAATGTATATGTTAATTATATGAGCCATCAGGTGAAACTGAAATATCTGCAGTATTTATTAAAACCTCTTTCTTAATTATAATTATTTAAATACAAAATTAGTTGATACATATTACAATTATGCATCGAATCTTCATTTTGGTTGTAATGCGCCTTGAAAACTGTACGTATGGAAAAACATATTTTAATGATTTTCTCAAACTATAATAGATAGAATAGATCAAATAAATGCTTATGATAGTGGATATTTGGGGAATGCAACGTGAATTCAATTTTTACTGTGTGTTTTCCCGTGGTTTCATTCATTTGGTCATGAATACATATGGGCCTCAAAATAGATTTGCAGCTGGTGTCTTCTCAAGTCGCCAATGCAAGTATGGTTGATAACCTTTTTACTGGTTGCATACTACCTGTTGACGATTTATACTTGTAATCAACACAAATTTATTTTAAAATTACAGTTATCATATGTGATACAAGTGTTTATTTGAATGTGAACTATGGGTAGAGCGTAATTTGTTGTAGATTGCATAAGTTTGTGATGCATAACCTGTAAATGGGAGCGCCAAATATTTGGTAATAACAAATTTAATAATATGCCCTTTGTTTACAGCTCAAAATTCACTGAATTTCCCATATTAGTGACGATCAGGATGAGAGCATTGAGCAGCTGGTTCGGTGTCCTGAATTTCTTTATAGTGCTTGGCCTCAGATTAGACTCACTTGTCCATGGCAATTGGTTCATCATCCTCTTGCCCCTGTGGATCATAGACTTCTTCTTGATTGTAGATCCTGTGGTGTATCTAGCTTTGAGCTTGCAACACAACTTGAAGTGCTGGTCTTTCTTTCAGTTCTCCTACAAAATACTAAAAGTAATACTCACTGTGGTCTTCAAAATTCTGATTGCTCTGAGACTCGAATATGACATGCATTTAGAGCTCTACCAGATCCTCACACCTCTGTGGATTCTGCTTGGATTGCTTATCCTGGATGTCTCTGTGCTACTTTTCAAAAGCCCCCCAGACAAAGATTTGCCCTTGCCAAACAGCAGACCAATGTTGCAGTATACAAGCTTATCCAGAATTGATCCAGCACAAAACAACAACAATGACAGCAATAAAACTTAATTATATCTTATAATAATTATGTTATATGTTTATTGTATGCATAAAAAAAAAGATACATATACAAAGGGCTATTGCCAGCAGTCAATTTTACCCTGTTTATTTATTAAATAAATTTGTTAATATATATTTATCTATATTTAAAGTTTATGTATATCATCGAAACCCGTTTGTATGATTGCTGTCGATCAAATCTGACTCTGCGCTTGAAATGCTAAAAAAGAAAAACAGTATAGATGTAGTCATTATTTTTTATTACCGTTTGTTGTGTAGGAAAATACCTGGCACGATCGTAATTGTTCATTTTCTCGTTGTGTTCGCTTATGTGGAAAATGGGGTTCGCGCCTTCCACAGCCATGCTATTGGTCATCGGTGGAGGAGCCATCCTCAAATCCTCCTTTGAGATCATCGGTGCTGTAGTCAACTTGTTCAATCGCTGGTTAAGACTGTGAAACACATCGTTCAAATATTGCAAATAAAAAATAAGTATTAATTTTAGATCACTGATTTACCTTCTTGTTTTTAAGATAAAAGCGACGATGAGTAGGATGCACAAGGATCCCAAGACGACGCCGACGCCTATCAACCAAGCCTTCAGGACTTCCTCGTTGTTTTCCTGTTCCGTATTTACGTTGTCGATGCGCTTCAAATGCAAGTCGTAGTCCAGAAGATTGTTCCTCAACGATCCATACAGATCTGCATTACTCAACATTCTGCAATAGATATTGAAGTAGAAACTACATTTTGATATGATGCACTAGCTCACTTTTTGATATCGTCATTCTCTTTCGGTACATTATCTTTCATGAAGAACATCGTGACATTGGTCTCTGTGATGGTCGGTGTCTCCGCGTAAATGCTTTTTTCGGTGAATATGCTGTCCAAGTACGATTCCATTTCCAATTGCTTATTAAAGATTTCGATAATCTGTAAACATTTTTTTTTAGTATAGAAGATATCTTATGTGGATTAAATGTACCTTTGTTTTCTTGTTGACCACGTCATCCATCTTATTTTCGAATACGAACTTAACCAGATGGTTCTCACCGACGATGAAAATTGACACCGAGGCTGTAGCTACGTGCTCTATAATTGAAGCGGAATATTCGATGAATTCAGTTTTCAGACGCAACTGTTAATGATATTACCTGAATCGCTGACGGTGATGTCGAATGTGAAATATCCTTGCATGTTGGCATCGATGCTTGGCACTTTCAGGTGGATCTCGCAAAGCCCTCTGCTACTGCTCTTTGCTTCAAACAGCGTATTCGTCGAAGGCAGATTCGAACCTATACCTTCGAAATTACTTATACTGAATGTCAGTTCATCATCGGGATCGTCGTCTTTCGCCTGAAACAAGAAGAAGACCGGTGCTTCTCTTCTTTTCATGTCGATCAATTAAAACTACTCACGATTATTTCGACGAGTATCTTTGAAGGGTCGTCCTTCAACATGACGCGGCCAAAATACTTTTCCTGCGTGAATTCGGGATCGTTATCGTTTACGTCGATCAACTGAAAGATGATAGAATTTAATTGAATGTGATACAAATTGATGTTCATATTGAAATAGTACATTGATTGGAACGGTGAGAAGAGATGCCTTGTTTGGATTCGCGATTGGAGTTCTCGACGTCCCTGCCTGAATCACCACCTGCTCACTCTTCATATCTAAGATTTTCAACGGTTTTACGAGACTCAGCCTTCCTGACTTGATATCGATTTCGAAGGCGTCGTTCAAGTCCTCGAAGATATGGTAGAATATATCGATTTCGATTCCTTCCAATTCTACTTCGGCTTGAGGAATATCCATCGAATTCAGATCGTATTCCTTGACAACGAAAGGATCAGCCTCCTTGTTGAACAACGGCGATATATTGGCGTCGATAAACTTGACGTTGAATTCTTCCTCAGTAAAGAGCGCCTCCTTTTCACTCTCTGTTATTTTCAGTTTCACTATATATTTGTGGTCCTTGACGAATTCATCGTTTAACAACAGATTGTACTTCACGTTGTTAATTTTCTGTAGCTTGAAGATGTTGGTGTCCGTATCTAAAATCTCTATAGCTAGTATGTTCTTTTCTCCCTGGTTATCTGTGCCGGTGATCGGATCCATATTGCTACCATCGAACAAAGTCAGCTGCTGATTTTGTTCGTTTTCCTAGAAGAAAAATCGACCAGTTTCATTAAAATTCAATCCTACATCTACAAAAAAACAACAACGTACTGAGCTTAAGTAGACTGTAGACCTTGGCTGCGGTACGCTCAAGCTAGGTTTCTCAAAGTTGAAGATCTCGATGGTCAGAGGAATCTTGGTATTTTCTTCAGCGCAAAGTTGCTTCTCTTGACCTTTATCGCACACCTGTAATCATCGATACTAGAATTGATCTTGGTAAAATAAATATATCTAAGAGATTACTTTGAATTCCAAATAGTGATCGCCGTAGTGGCCCCTCATGTCAGTGTTTGAATACAGTTCGCAAATACCATTATCTTTGGGACAGTTTAGTTTCAAATCATCCAATGTCAACTTGTTTTTGGCTATCGATTCGACATTCACTAATTCTACAGTCATTTTACCATTGCCGGTCAAAGGATCGTCTCTGTCCGTTGCTACAAAACCTCCAATCGATTTTCCCTACAAGATCGTTTCTAATCGTATGCGTTTCATAACTAAAGGTGATATTACCTTTTTCAATTCTTCAGTGGTAAAGAAATTGTTCGTGACAATTTCCGGATGGTTATCGTTGATGTCCGTCACAATGACCGTGAAGGTCATGGACGTGGTCAATCGTGGTTCACCGAGCGGATCGTCTGCAACAAAAATTAATAGAAACATTAACAAACCACGAAGAAATTTAAATATAATAGCGCATACTTGGATTGTCCACGGCAAGGACGGTAATCAGGAATTCCGTTTCACCTGCATCCCTGTCCAGGATTCCGTTCACCGTTATCAAGCCTTCATCGTCAATAACAAACTTATCGTTTGGAACGTCTTTAAAAATGTATTCAAATTGATTGTGAGGTGCTGCAAAAATAAAGCAAAAGAAAAATAAATTGGGAATCAGATGAAACATGAGAATACACTGTACTGTCTCTGTCCTCGTCTATTGCTTTCACTTGGAAAACCTCAACAGACTGATCCTTTTCCGGAATATTGATGTTTTGATCTGGGAAAATGGTAAAACTGGGTTTCATATCGTTCAGATCTATAACTTTCACCGTGATCTGCAAACGGAAGAACATACTTATAATTTCACGAAAGAAAACAAATAACAATAATTACTGGTTTGGTTGCTGTGTGTTTTTCATCATTGGCTTTAATGTTATAGTACAAGTAATTCAATGGTGGTGTATCGGCATCAATTGCTTTCGGTTTATCAATGGAGATTTCGCCTGTGTCCGGATCGATTTTCAACAAATTGTCTGCAGTTCCTTGCACCGGTCTAAATGAATAAAGTATGGTTTAGGTTTTGCTCGTTGCTACTACACTATGGACATACTCAAGACTGTATGTTATTTTGGGATTCAAGTCGATGTCTGTGGCCGTGACGACTCCGATGATGTCGGAGTCAGCGTTTTCCTTGACACTCTTCTCGACCAATGAATTCTCAGTAAATATGGGAGGGTTGTCGTTGTCATCCTTGATGTTGATCACGAAGATGACTGTAAACATATTGAAGTAAAAAGGATGTAGCATTTTTATTTTGGTGAAAGCACCTTCGTCAGATTCGTAGCCCACGACTTCGGTGTTGTGGTCGGTGAGCACGAGATTGATGTAGAATGTGTCGAACTTTTCAAAATCAGGTGTGTTATTCGGAATTTTATTGTTGAAATACAGCTCACATTCCATCGAGTCGTCTCTTTCAATGTTAATTACATCGATGCACTCTTCATAACCTTCCCACTCCACCCTTTGACCGTTCTTGCTCGGGTAAGACTTCTTCCAGTCGATTTTGAATTCCAATTTGCTAAGCGTATCTTCGTCGTATCCCAGGATCTTCTCTTGATTTATTAACGTATCCTTTTTCTGATTCTCCACCAGCGACACGGACTGCTCCATCTGAAAATTCGGTGATTATTTACTGTTTCAGTAGAGGTGAATTGAAAAACGAAAATACCATGACGATCTTGGGCGCTTCGTCGTTCACATCGATCAGCTTAACAGTGACAATGCCGATTGTCGTATGAAGAGTATCGGTCGGCTGCAGTGAAACCGTGTCCACGGCTTTGATCTGGATCAGCACTTCGTTGTTGGCCTCGTAATTGAACAGCTGAAAGCCTTTGGGAAGACCGTTTTTGGATTCGAGCGTGATGCAACCGTCTTCATCTTCGTTTAACTTCAATATGGAATTCATCGCGGTTCCCAGAAGAGAAACTCTACGAAGAAATCGATGAGCAAAAACATAGAACAATAGCATTCAACAAATATATTACTCGATTTTATCATCGACGTCCTTGTCCGTTACGCAAATTTTCTCTGTGAACGGTAAAACCTCAATCCCGTTTCGTCCGAAAGTTTCCTTCATAGTGATATCGTAGATACCGTCATTCGTGAAGGTGGGCAACTCGTCGTTCCAATTTATCAGATTCACATGAATACTTTTCCTGTCGCTCTTTGTTGCATCATTTAGATCTATTGAATGGATCTGAAAACACATTTCTCAATTTAAATAACAATGAAAGTTTAATTTTCTATAACTATAAAACTTAATTTATATTAGTGTTAATTAATAATAACATTGCAATTGGTTGTTAATGCTCACCTCGATATTAAAATCGTGCAGATATACTTTATTCGGATCATCGTAGTCGAGTAATGCGGCGTTGATTATATTCAAAGTAAAAGTGCCCTTCTGATATCCGTTCATCGGCACGATTTGGAAAATTTCATTGATGTTTTTCACTTTTTCACTTATCAATTCCACCTCGTACTTGGCATTTTCACCCTAAACGAAAGTGTTAAACGCATACAAAAAAAAAACACCGAATTCACAAACTTACGATATCCTTGTCGTTGATTTCGATCTTTGTACCTATGATACTGTATTTGTTTTCCAGAAGATCCAGTTGATCATTGTCGATGGTAATGAGTGGTATTTGATTGTTAATATCCTTTACCATTATGGTCACCACTCTATCATCGGTGCACTGGCCTTGACTGTTATCCTTAGGTATTTCGCAGGCTTTCACAGAATACTGGTACAGCTCCAGCTCATCCTCATCCCTATTGATCCCATCGATATTGATTACCAACTTCTTATTTTCGACTTTCCAATGAAAATACCGTTCAACTGAAATAACGTTAAGATGATAAATTGGTATAAGTATTTGGTATTACCCAAAAAATACGTTTTTTTGTGATGACAGTGCACGTGTAGTCGATTTCGTTGTTGACCATGAAATCGCCATCCACAGCGTGGATGATCATCTCGAAGTTTTCAAGTTCCATCACTTCGATGCTGGTGATGATGTCCATCCTCGGTGGATTATCGTCGATGTCCTCGACGTTGACGACGACCTTCGTGGTTACAGAATCCGAATGCCTGTCGTCATTATCCTGCAAGCGGGAAACTCTGCAATTCCGTTTTGGTAGTTTTCCTGAAATTCTCTTACTTTGATGGTCCAATCGAACACGTAGATCTTTATGTCCTCGTAATCCAAAATTTGCAGAGTGTGCAGCACAATGATACCGTTTCTAGTTGTCGGCGTTGGTAACGTCTCCCATTCGAATTTAAATATATCGTCATTCTAAAATTGAACATAATCTTAATTTATATAATTATTAAGAATATTATCTGATTGTTAAAATTATTAATATTGATTCAGTTTAACTTTGATTACATTCAAGTTTTACTAATTCCATCTTAGTCGAATTGTTTTCGTTTTGAAGGCATTTCAGTTCATCAGATGATATTAGTAATCTGTGTCATCTAATAATCGAGGCGACTATTGGTATGATGTGCAGATTAGATAAAGGAGTGTAATTCCTTTGGTGGTACAAAGTAAAGAAAATCTACAAAAACCCAATAATTTCCAACTCTTTTCCTTGACTTTATAAAGATCTCATCACGTTAGAGAAAGTTTATTTCTTAATTATCAAATGAAAATCATATGTGGAAATCGTTTTGGTCCTCGTAACTATTTCGTCGTTAGATTTACCTGAGATACCTGACGATAATTGCGTTCGAAGGCGAGATAAGAGTGCGATATATATGTTTTTTTTAACTACAAACCAAAAATTCAACTCACATCCGATAAATGGTTGATCGTGAACTTGTCCATCATTCCATCTTCGTCGTTCACCTCAAATTTGCATTCCGTCGCACCGGTCGTTCCGTTTTCCTAAAAGTTTCATAACAATTTCAATTTTGAAAGGATGGAGGAAACAAAAAGCGCGTTAAGGTCGCTGAAAGTATTACCTTGACATTGCACGATTCCCTTTGCATCACAATCGTCGGATTGTCGTTTAAGTTCCTGATTGTAATCTTTATCGGAATTGTTGTATCTCCGAGCGTCATGAAACCATCGATGTTCGGCTTAGTTTCATAATCAACTTCATTAGATGCAACTAGTTGCCTTTTATCATCACTAAGTTTAAAATAAGTGTTCGTTTCAGATGGAAAGCTAACGTCAGGTTTGATGGATCCTTTATAATTCAACGTTCCAAGAACGGTTCCCGTCTTCACGTTTTCATCATATTCCAGCAAAACGTTTTTTTTCGTACTTTCTATGGTTTCGATAAAGCCTTCGTTCACCGCAGTGAAAGGTTTGTCTTCCCATTCTGCGAAATATCCGTTGAAATCGGTTATGAAATTCTGAAAGCTTGTTTTGGAATGTAAACTCACCGCTGAGAACTTGACCTATCATCAATCCGATCACGAAGATCAGAAGGAATATCGCTTTGGAACCATCCATGCTGGGTCATCAAGCGATCGCGAAACTATTACCTGTATTGGCCAGGTATCCTCTGTTGATCCTCGGCCCTTATCTAATCACCATTATCGACAATCAGATTGCCAGAATAATGTGATAACTGGACGTGATAGAGAGAGAAAGAGCGGAATAAAAATATGTCGATGTTTATCCGAAATCCCATGATTCATCGATTAATAGAGAAGCCAGAAGGGAGATTGCAGAGCAAACGGATTTCGCGCTACTGCACCATCAACAAATTGCTTTCAATTCAACCTCTCCATTGTGCTCTTCTTTCCTTATTTCATTTCATTCCAATCCAATCTAATCCAAATAATGCTCAAAGGTTTTGCCATTTAATAACTTCATCATCACCTAATTCTTTCTAGTCGAATTCGCTTGCGTTATCAACGCGCAAAGCAAATGCAATCGCCGAGGTCTGCTGTGTCAAAGGGCAAAAACGGCTGGTCACGAGAATCGCTCGGATTAGATTTCAGTCAATGTGCAGCGACCAAAGACGACGGTTCAACATTGCCACAACAAGTAAGATCACAAGAACATCAAACATAACTTAAGTTAATTAGCAATTAACTAAAAATCCTTCTATGCAATTGGAAAGCAATTAACAAATGTATTTACAAAAAAAATATTCACTGAATTTCGCAGCGTTTTTTAATTATTTAATAGAAAAAAGAAACGTAAGAGGAGAGAATACAACTTAAAATTATATATAAATATATAATACAAAAAAAAAAAACAACAAATATAGATTAGATAATGAAGCGAAGCCAAATTGAATCATAATTATTTATACACAGAGTGACAATAATGAATTAGCTTGAACTCTGATTTGCCAGATTAATAAATACATCTTTTATTTTTATTGAGACCAAGCATTTTCTTTTTGATAATCATTCCTAATTAATAACTTGAAATTCATTACTTTTAATCAAGTAATTAAATAATATATATGTCACCTACGCATCATTACATTTAAATCTTCAGACATTCTTCCAATTCATTGAATCAAGATTACTTTAATTATAAATACTTAAAATTTATTGAATGTTTTATAGATTAAATTATATCGAAACACAACTAAAATTTTGAACAAAATCTTTCTTAATTTGTTTAAAAAAAGAGTCGATAATTAAAAAAATTAACATTAACTTAACTTAATGAGATGTATATTAGAACGAAGAACGAAGTTTCATTGGAGAATTAGAGAAAACAATTGTGAAATAATGGTATTTAATCTGTGTTTAAAAGCCCGAGGTTTTTGCGTTTAATAAATGAAGATTTAAAGTTCGAATTGTTTACGTCTTTCCAAAGACGTATCTCAGACTTAATTGAAACAGAGTGAACGAAAATATCATTTAATTAACAATTAATTCGCGTATTTCGTGATTGTCGTTATTAATAATGAAATTTAAAAAAAAAACCGTTTAAAGAAATAATTACTTGTTGGATATTTTGATTATAAAATTTAATCTAATTTTAGAGCTCTGATTTTTGGGCATAAGTAAGTCAGATAGCTGTTGCTAAAGCGCACATTAAAAAAAGGAGAGAACACATTGAGAAAATGATAAGAAATCGTTAAATAAACAATGTTTCAACAGAAGCGAAATAGTAGTATTTGTTTGATAGATTATTTGGTATTATGTATGTGGAAATTGTGTTAATATGCGTGAAAATATACAAATTTAATATAGACAATATATTTTATATTGAAATTTAGAAAATTATTGTGAAAAATAGATTTTTATTATCTTGGCAGGAAAGCGGAACATAAAAATTGTGTTTATAAATTTTGTTTTTTTTTT